GAATTTCACTGAATTGCAGGTTCGTCCGACTCCGAATCTACAAGTCTACTGCTCACCATTTATGTTTTTCAGCCAAGAATTGCTCTAGCTCACTAAGGGGACCCATGTCCCACATGCTGGTAAAACCAAAAGACAGTATTAGGAGGTTTCTTACAGCCACCTTCGAACATTTCTTGAAAAAGGGAATGTAATAGATGATAATACATAATACAAAAAGAAGAAAGAGGAAGCTGTGCAGCACAGGATTTGGGAGTGCACTCCTACAGAACCTGTATTTTTGCTGCAGTAAAATTAAAATTAAAAGTAAAAAGTAAAATTATGTTGGTAGTACAGTTTGCAGTGTTTTTCTGTATAACAGTAGTAGCTCACTGACTTATTCAAGTTGTTGCTTAGAATCATTCTCTAAATATTTGCAGATTTCTGATAAAGCTAAAAATTAAATGTTATTCTTCTCCCCATAGCTGGTTGATTAAATGAATTAAATGCCAATAGACATACAATTATAATTTCTATAATGCACATTTCCCTGTATATAGGAATGTAGTATGTCCACAAGCAAAAACAAAGAGGGAAGAAGCTATCAAAAAGCAGGTCCCTTTTACAGAGTTTATCCAATATGCCACAAAAGTGTTATTATTGCCATGTATGTTGTTGCTAGGGAGATTTTGGCTGGAGTTGGCTAGGATTTTAAATGCACTGTTGAAGAAAATGCATAAAACAAATATATGATATTGCTTTGATTACCATTGCTAGAATTTTGTAACCTTAAATGTAATTTCTTGTTTCACTTGTTAAATCTGTTCTGCAGCATCATGCTTTCTCCAAGACTAGACCACAAGACATTCATTCACGCAGTCCTTTCCCTTCCAGGTCAATAGACTGTGATGTGGAGCAACCTATATTTTATTGTTGAGCCAATACATTTAACCTTTGATAAACCTTGTAACACAGTATGATGTGATCTCCTCTGAGCCTGAAAATGCATGTTTTATTTACTGGTTTACAGTTTCCCTGTGGAGAACTGTCTGTACTACTGCAGGTTTTCTGGTTATAGGACTTTTACCTTAAATTATGAAACACTATATTCTCTAATGCTGGAACATTTGTTTTCCATTATATTGATTTATAAACCCCCTTTGGATTAAAAATGTCTAAGAGAGAACACATTTCATTTGTACTAGCACTGGTCAGGATACTAGAACTTAAAAAAAAATGAACACTGTTTTCAGTTCAGCCTCCACAGCTTTCATTATGTATTAAGCACTGCTGACAGACAAGGCATTCTAATTACCCTAGCTTGGTTCTAATGCAACCAACACCAGATGAGTTTCCCAAAAGATACTTTTATTTGCTGTAGGTAATTTTGCAGGTGTCATTCAAAGTCCCTGCTTCAAGTATGAATACCTAAGGAAGGATGGGAAGGGTAATATGTTCAACTAAACCAGGTTATATTAAAAATGGACATCAGATATCTTTAAACCACACCACCAGTATCCATGTGTCCATGCCTGTTTACAATAACATCTGTTAAATGAACTGCACATTATTCACTAAACAGGCATAAGTAAACCTAGAAAGATTGAATATATTTCTGCATTATAAAATAGTCAAGAAATACTTTCTAAAAATAATCGTCAATGGTTTATCTTTTTTGGTGTGATAAATTACCTTTTAGAGTGTGAGAAACATTTATAGTGAAGTAAAACTTATTTGTCCTAAAAATAAAAGTGTACAAATTTGACACCAAAACAACTAAGTTTCCCAAAGCCAAAACGAATATACTGACTGTAATGCACTCTACCTATCTAAGCCACTTTCCTAGGTTGCTGTAACAATTTATTAAAAACATTTGTTGATTTGGGTATCTGAAGTTACCAGACAGAGAGTTTTTTCTAGTGAACTAGCCATCACAGATATGCCTCAAAATTTGTTTCTGTCACCACAAGCAGAATGCTAGGGAAATGAAAGATAGTTAATACAATTAGGTTTATATTTATTGAGATGATAGTTAGTATTATGAAGTGATTTCATCACTTCTTCTACCAAGTAAAATACACATTCTAAGCTCATCTTTATCATAATTAAATTTGAAACCTTAAAAGAGCTCTAACATTAGAACAATAACACTGATTTTATAGAAGAGTGAACAGAGAACTGCTGTGCCACAATCCAAAAAACAAAAACCTGATTGATGTCTTTTTTCCTAGCTTTTGCCCTAACCCAGAACACTCTGGTAAGCTAAGACAATGCAAGCTGGGGGTGCATGTTTGTATTTGGGTGAAAGGGTGTTATGAACTGGAGAATCTAGCATCTAGGCACCTGGAGGTAACTGCTATTTGGCATCAGTTGTAGTTTAGGACTTAAAATTACCCTAAACTCAGGAGTTAAATCTTTAAAATGCATTCAAGTACCCTAACTGTTGACAAAAATGTAGCTTATTTGTGTAATCTAGCATGTAGGCACCTGGAGGTAACTGCTATTTGGCATCAGTTGTAGTTTAGGACTTAAAATGACCCTAAACTCAGGAGTTAAATCTTAAAAATGCATTCAAGTACCCTAACTGTTGACAAAAATGTAGCTTATTTGTGTATCACCATGGTCCCTGTGTATGTTGTAAAGTAGCCACCACTCCGAGCTCACTCCTGTGATGGACTACAATCTCACATTTATTTGCTAATTTGTATTGGGATTGTAGTCCATCATAGGAGTGAGTTTAGAGTGGTGACTACTTCAAAACACACACAGGGACCATGGGGAACAAAAGTAGCCACCTTCCAGAAGTAAGGATAGAGTCAGCATGAATTCAGAAATGATTTGAGGATTTACAGCTGAGTGATGCACAAACAAGCTACATTTTAGTTAGTAGTTAGGGTATTCAAATGCATTTTTAAGATTTAAGTAGTGAATTTGATGTCACTTTAATTTACCACTATAGGTCCTTATACCTTTCCTATCATATAACAGTTGGTGCCCGTGGAAAGAAAAAAACAACTTAACGTGATCATGTCAGACATTCTAATCTTATAAATATTATAATCTTATAAAAGTAAATGTCTTATTTAAGATCAAAGAATGCAATGCCTGGTATTACCTTTAATTAGCCAAAATACTCATATATATTCCACCTCTAAACTAGCTTTACCTTGTTGCTAGGGCCTGACTTTCCTGACTTCTGGCCTAAGCCTTACCTTTCTGTCTGCATACTGTCCAAATAGCCTGCCTCATGGCTAATAAAAGTTAATAAAACAGCTTTCATTGGACAAGGGAATGGCATTTGGAAAAACAATTCTGCAACTTTTCAGAGGGGCTTTAAAGTGATTAATGTATTAATCTATTCTGAGAGCCAACAGAGCATTTACATGAGATCATGAAAAAGTCAGTGCATGCACAGTATGGTTAGCATGAATACTGAAACTTTGATGTCTCAATGTGTGTCTCACTTTAAGGTACATACTATAAACAATAAACTTGCAGAAATTACTGAGGTCAAAATGTTAGGTGCAAATAAATCAAATTATTTTCTTAATAATGAAATTTGTCAAAGGTTTATAGAACATAGAAGTTAAAACAGTAGACAGATGAATACCAACTGTATATACAGCACAGACTCCAAAAAGTCTATAGCTATAAATCTGGGCCACACACCTGGACCACATAGAAATATAAACAGTTTGAACAAAGTTAATGTTAAACAGAATATGAAAGAACCTACATAAGAAGGTCTACAAATACTCTTCTTTTTCATAGTAACAGATGGAATGCAGCTTCAAGCAAGGTGAAATGCACAATAAAACCCTTCAAAGAGAACTAAAAAATATATAATCTTTTAAAGAGTGCAAAAGAAAGAGACAGAAAGAAAACAACCAGTAGCTTCGTAGAGCATTGGCAAATATTAGGAAAATGTTGTGGCTGTAAACTTTCAATTTGTGTTCCTTGTTGCAGGGCTTGCAGGCCCTACTTCTGTTATTTTTTTAACCTTTATGTGAAAACAAATACTGACAAAAACCTAATAAAACCTTTGTGAAAGAAAACGTCTGCAGTTTTTTTCTTAACTAAATTGGCACTATAGGTGCCATTCGAGGGCAGATAAGTGGCACATCACTTTTTTCCTACACTTCCTGGAGACCAAAGAAACAATTATGTCCAGAATCTGTCAGCAACAGCTACCGGTGGTTTGAAAAGGATATAAACACTAAAACTATGTGATGTACAATATAAATAAGTAAATATAAATTATATCCTTATACTCCCAAGCTTCAATATCTATATCAATAAAATAAATGGAATTTGCCAGTGAAACTGTAATACATGAATATATTTCCCTTCCCTCAATGAAACCCCATCCAACAATACCAATGTACAACAAGGATTCATTATGTTCTACTGAGCTGGAATCTCTTTAAAAGGGAGGAGGCATGTTTTAAAATTTTAGGTTAAAAAATTATACTCTTTCCAGTAACAATCCATAAGCAACAGAGCTAAAGCAATTGTCAGCACATAAAAACCTTCTCGTTGTTCATATTAAGCTGAATACAATCTTAAAATTAATGGTGAATTTGTATGTACCGTATCTAAATGTAATTCTCTTTTACATGAGATAACAAAACTGATGAATAATAAAAAGCAATCTCATGCAAACTGTTTAATAATTTAACACCTGACTTTATGTAATTTAGTGCATCAGACCCTGAAAACAATAGAAATACTTTACATTTTGAAATTCTATTTTCCAGGGGTTGTTCTGAGTAATTCCCTAAATTTATAACTGTTGCATACAGGGTGTTCCACTTTAGCTAAAATTGCTGAAAATACTTTATGCTTATTCATCTAAAACAGTAGGTGCCTGAACCCACTTTGAAATGAAGGAGTTTAAAATTAAAACAATGCATCTTGTTTATAACAATGAAAATAATTATTCCTTATAGCTTGGAACACATACAAAATAAACAATGCACTGGGGAGATCGCACTGCATGGGTAATAATAAGGGGATCGACTTACTTTTGACGGTTGCTGTGCGAGTGCAGTTGTACAATATTGCAAGCTCTCCAAATACTTTTCCTGGTCCCATTGTGCAAAGCTTCACACTTTCTTTTGTAACCTCTACTTTGCCATCTGCAAAAAAAAAGCAAAACACATTAACATCCAGTTTTAAAAAATACAAATCAATTTTGTTCTAATTAACCCTGAAATAATAAAATGTGAAACAAAAATATTATGTAAAACAAATATGTAAATTAAATATTTAATTTATTTTACTATTGAAACATAACATTACAGATCTGAATGGGGGAGGGGTCCGGTGATCAGCTGAGTGCGATGGCGGTGTGCTAAGCGGGCGTCACAACACCCAGGCATGGGAACCTTGACCCGGTGTGAGTGACTTCCACTACAGCCTCAACAAGCTCTTACTCCCCCACCTGTACACTGCGCGGTGGACTGCCACTTGCTGAAAGTCGAGCAGATCAATCTCTGGAGCCCTGATAACAACAGGCGGAAAGATGGTGAAGGGTTCGGCGGGGAAGATGTCCACAAAGAACCCGGCCTTGACTGCTTCCGGGTCACGGTCCATACCGAGGCTATCCCTGGCACCTGTGACACAGGACTCCAGAGCCTCTTCCACTAAACCGGTGGATACAGCAGAGACATCGCGGAGAGAGAGCCCTCTCCCTCAGATACAAGTTGAACAAACAGAGGTAACATGTAGAGATATAGAACTGTTAGAAAAATTTAACATTTTGCTACAAAAAGAACTACAAACTGCCACTGATAAATTGGCCTCCCAACTATCCAGGGATATCAAGGAATTGGGACACAGAATACATGAAATAGAGGTCAAAGTGGATGATGTTATTACAGTGATAGAGGCACATGAACAGGACATTGACTCTCTGAAAGAAGACCTGGTTCAGGACCTGGAAAATAGAAGCCGGAGGGGTAACCTGCATATTCGGGGGATCCCAGAGAATGTAGATAACCTAGAAATGACTATTTCATCTATACTCTAAGATTTGCTCCCAGGATATCCAACAGATAGATTGGAAATAGATCGGGTACACAGGACACTGGGGCCTAGAAGGGTTGATGGCGCTCACAGAGATGTTATTTTAAAATTTAAAAATGTTAAAACCAAAGAAGCTATTGTACAAGCAGCATGGGAGATGCGGTCTCTTAAATTTCAAGACTATAATTATCAAATCTACGCAGACCTGGTGCCTCAAACTTTACAGCATCGTAGGACCTTGAAACCATTTCTGGCTGTATTGCAACAACACAGTATTAACCCCTTCGTGACTGACGACGTACAGTGTACATCGCCAGCATCGGGGCTGTTTAAACAGACTCCCCGGTGACTTTTGCCGCGGGACTCTGTTTAAACTTGTAGAGCCGACTGTCGGCTTTACAACAGAAGCGATCCTGGCGACTTACCTGTCGCCAGATCGCTTCTGCGTCCCGAAGAAGGGGCCGCCCCCCCGCCGGACACACCCGCCGTGCTTCCCGGGCTCCGTTGCCCCTCCTACGGGCCCGGGACCGGCGATCTT